TTACTCGGACCTCCCTTACTTTTGAAAATATCCTGCACGGACCTTCCTTCTATTAGAGTCAACAACAGTCAATAACGGAAATTGATGACGTCATCTATAATTTTTACTCAAATACCTAAAATACCCTTGTCCCATAATTGCTGACGTCATGTGTGTGTGTGTGTATATATATATATGTTGTGTAAAAAATTAAAAAATATGTGAAAAAGTAAAAAATAAAAAGAAAAAAAGAAGAAAATAAAATAAAAGCCACGGTGCTTGATCGTGGAATGATGGCAACAATAGATAATGAACTCCTTGAGATTCTTTGCAATCTCAAGCTCGGATCTCCTGACTTCGACTTTGGCAGCTCCTTCTTGTCCTCCACGTTCAGTCACTGCCGTCCATCACCGCTGGAATCAGTTCCAGTGCTATCCCCTACGGTGGTCTGTCGGCTTTCAATTCTCTCTATATCCATAAGATTGTTTCTTTTATTTTGCCACAATATCATATTTTTAGTTATAATATATCTCTGAATCGATCAATTACTGAGTTTGAACTCACAAGAACACTTTAACATATCTCTTCTTTGGTGAGGTCAAAATTTTAGGTAAGGGTTTTTTTTGTTCCCCTGATTTGGGTAAGTTCTTTTTTTTTTTTTTTTTTTTTTTTTTGGTAAGTCAAAATCTCTCTTTGGGTAAGTCAAAATCTCCCTTTTTGCTCGAGGAAATCAGTTCGTACTATGTATTCGTGGTCTCTGAAAATTCTTTGATTGGAATATATGTAATTGAAGAATTACATAAGCAACATATGTGTGTGTGTGTGTGTGTGTGTATATATATATATAGATAAAGGGAGGGAGAAAGTAGAGGAGAGAGAACAAAACTTCGCAGCCAAGGTGGGTTAATTTTCATGACCAGGTTCATGGTTGATGGTGGTGGTGGCAGCCCAAACAGTTTAAGATTAATTTTTTTTTTTTTTTTGTTTCTCTTGCTCTATCTCTCTCTATATGTGTGTGTGTGTGTGTGTAGGGTACTTTAGTAATTTATCATAAAAAATTAAGGGCATTTCAGTAAATTAGCCAGATCCATTAGTGTATTTAACGGTCTGTCACACATAAAGAAGGTCCGTGTAGGATATTTTCAAAAGTAGGGAAGGTCCGAGTAATTTCCTAAACAGGAGGGAGGTCCTTGTAATTATGGCAAACCATAGGGGAGGTTTGTGTAAATTACCCAAGTTTTTATTCATTTTTATTTGGTAATGCACTGAAAATATCTAAATTGTGAAATGTCTAAATTGTGAAATGTTATGTTAATTTTTTCTAGTACCCGTGTTCTGTACACTTCACTAGTTAATAATACACTTCGATTTATAAGAACTTTAATAAAATCTTCTCCTCTTTATTTTTTTATTTATTTTTATTTTTTTTAAAAAAAACTTCAATATTGCATTTGTGCAATTTTTGTTAATTTAAGAATATTTAAGAGTAAAACACATCTAATACTTGTAATAAAATTTATAAAATAAATAAAAGAGTGATATGCAATACTACGTATTTTTTAGTTTCATAAAATTATTTTTAGTATATACCATTAAGTAGTTTTATGAGTTTTTATTTTCATAAAATTATTTTGTAGTTTTCTCTACCAAGTAGATTTTCAAACTGAAAATGTTGAAAATTGTACTCTATTTTGGTTATCTCAAAATTGTTTTGAGAGTTGCAAATCAAACAAGGCCCTAATTTTTTCATTAAATTTCCTAAAAAAGGAGAAACAAAAAAATTAATTTATTGAGAAAATTTTATGAACCTATAATGATAACATTTATTTTATAACAAATTTTGTCATTTACCAAAAGACCAAATGGTATAAATCTCTTCACCGTTAAAGAGGAAGGAGGGTTCGAGCTAAAAGGTGCACGTAGGTGTGCGAGTAAATTACACAGAAAAAAAAAATGCCATTCAAACTATAAATGAAAATTTTGTACAATTATTTTTAGGGCAAATTTCACAAAACCCCAACTATTATCATTTTTTGATCATATACCCCCAACTGATTTTAGAAAACCCCAACACTATGAAATTTAATCACAATGCTCCAATTCTATGATTAAATGACGAAATTAACCTTCTGATATACCAATTGATTTAAAAAAGCAAAAATCGGTATTTTGCCAATTACAGAAATAACCTTGGAGAATCTCTCTCTCTACCAATTATGAATCAAACAGGATAAGAAGAAGAGCTTAGTGAAAAAACCCAACAATAGTGTAATGGCGTTTATCAATACAAGCCAATAAAAAATGAATTTGATTTTCTTCACTACCATTCTCTTCTCTCTCCTCATCGGAAAATCTGAACTCGCCACTAATAGAGTGGCGCTTCTCGCTCTCCAGGCCACCGTCGGCAGCCGATCCCTTATCTGGAACACCTCCGAGCCCACCCCATGTCCTTAGCCTGGCGTTACATGCCAATCCAGCATCGTCATCGAGCTCCGCCTCCCTGGCATGGGGCTTTCAGGCCAAATCCGACCACACACAATCAGAAATTTGACCCACCTCCACACATTTAGCCTTCGCTTCAACGCCCTCTCTGGCCCACTCCCAAACGACCTCGCTGCTATTTCCGGCCTCCGCAATCTCTATCTTTAGGGTATCTTCTTCTCCAGCCTAATCCCAGACATCATTTTCTTTCCCCATGACCTAGTCCATCTCAACCTCACCTCCAACAACTTTTCCGGCGAGATCTCTACTTCATTAAACAATTTGACCTGTTTGGGCACTCTCTACTTGGAGAACAACCACTTCACTGGTTCAATCCCTGATCTCAACATCCCACATCTTCAGCAATTCAATGTTTCGTTCAATCAATTGACATATTCGGTCCCTTTGCGACTCGCCGGAATGTCTTTCAACGCATTCGCTAAAAATTCTCTATGGTACTTGCACATGGTTGAAAGGGATGGGAAGCCTGTCAAAGAAAAGGGCGAAATGGGTTTCAATAAAATGACTGTGTTTAGTGCTAAGATATTTGTACATCAAAACGCGATCGTTTTGTGCTTTGATGAGTTAAATGTCACCAAGGTTATTTTTGTAATTAGTAAAATACTGATTTTTGTTTTTTTAAATCAATTGGTTTCCATAGATAGATCGAATTCGAATCCATTCAACACCCTGGCTCACAGATAAGCTCTCATCTTCATTCTTCTTATGTAAATGAAGCAGCTATCTCACAAGCACTTAGTTCCTTGCGAATTCCCTCTTCTCTTCGCTTCCATTCATGGTTCAGCTTGTTTGTGTTGGGATATGTGTGCCCTAGCATAGCAAATTCTTATTTTGGATTCTAAAAGTCATGGTTCCTTATCTGAATATTATTATTAAAGCATTATACAACTGGTGAATGGAATGTATTATTTTTCAATTCATTATGGAATTGATTGTGTCAACTTAATTACAAGATGTATTTATATATGTATGTAATGGCAATTAATACTAAGTTATAAATTAGTAATCTTAAATGGTTCAAAGTCGGTAATTATGGATAGACATTTAATTAGTTAAGATTTGAACCGAGTCCATGATAGATTAAGATATATTGCGAGAGATGTCGTATGCAATTACACTCTATCACAGTCATGGCTTTTGACTTTCAAGCATGAGAGAAGTATAGACTCTTTTATTAATTAATAATTACTTTGATTTGTTCGACGGATACCTCGGGATCCTTAGATCGGCACTTTGGGTAGTTATGTAATTAATAGTTAGAGATTTATATTCTCAATATTTTCATCAGTACTATTTATATTTATCTTGTTTTTATCACGGTTGATCACAAATTAAATTCGAAAGCTTTCGTATGTTTTAGACAAATGTTTTATATATATATATATATATATTTATTTAGTAAATTATTATTTTTTTCAAATAAATATTTTATTGTGATCGAGCCGGAAATAATCAAAGGTAACAAAATAATTATATTAATTATGTTGTCGGATTGATGACTTTAATTATCTGATAAATAATTATGTATAGAGGGATCAAAGTGCAACATTGACTTAGATGTTATTTACTATTAATTGGAGTGCAATTAATTTCTTTTAGTGGAGTAGAAATTAATTTATGAATTAATTTAATTGGGTCCATGGTTTAAAGAAAATAGTAAGCCCAAAGGATTCTCACCAATAACCCAAGTTGATACTGGAGTCCTATTAGAATTGAGAAATTTGATTTAGAGATGGTAAATAATTTATTATTTCATTTTTCTTATTTTTATTTTGCCTATATATATATGAGTCCATGTATATTTTAGGTGTGACTTTTATAATAAGAAAAAGAATATACTTTCTCTCTCTAGTTTTTAGGATTTGTTTTATCTTTTAAAGAAAGCTACCACAAGCCTTGATTCCAAGGTCATTCATCAAAGCATATTGGTGATTCCTAAAGGGAAAATTATAATCAAGACGAAAGAGAAATGATCTTGTTAAGGGATGTACAATAAGTGAGAACACTCATTTTAGAGGAAATATTAAAAGGTTTACTCAGACCTTTAATATAAGTATTCGATCTGTTTATTGAATGATATATCATCTTTTATTTGTTTTTACATGAAATTTGTTTTTATGTAATAAATTAAAATATTTATTTACAAATTCCTTCAAAGTTTTTAAAAACTTGCACGCTTTCCAGCCGTTTGAAGTCTTTCTTCTTTTCTCAGCCTTCTAATATATGGCTATCTGTTCAACTCAACCTCTAAACTTCAATAAATGCTTGTACGGCTTGTGTGGCAAATTTCATAATGTTAGGGTTATTTTAAAATAGGTTGAGGATATAAGATCAACAAATAATAGTAATGGGGTTTTTGTGAAATTTGCCATTTGTTATAGAAAATTTATTTTTCATTTCCAAAAAAAAATGAAGTTTCATATCCAAAGAAATCGAAAAATAATAATAATAATAATAATAATAATAATAATCTGAAGTTTCAAATCCAACGATGTCGGTCAATAAATAAAAAACGAAAAATAAAACGTCTCCACTGCCCCCAGTCTTTACGCTTCACAGACGTACACACTCTCATCCCATCGATCCAAAAATGGCTGAAAAATCAGAGGAAGAGCAAGAAGCTCTCCGTCTCACATCCCTAGCAGAGAAGAAGTACAACAATTCCAATCTCAAATCAGCCCTAAAATATGTCAAGAGAGCCCATCGTCTCTGCCCCGACCTCGACGGCGTCGCCGAAATGGTCACCGCCTTCAAAATCCTCCGCGTCGCCGCCAAAGCAGCCACCACCGCCACCGCCACCGCCACCGCCGCTGAAACACCCGACTGGTACAAGATCCTTCAGGTCGAGCCCTTCTCTCACATCAACACCATAAAAAGTAAGTACAAGAAGCTAGCCCTAACCCTACACCCCGACAAGAACTCATTCGTGGCCTCCGAAGAAGCCTTCAAGCTCGTCGGAGAGGCGTTTAGGGTTTTGTCCGATAAGATTAGGAGGAAAGAGTATGATATGAAGCTAAGAATCGCGATGCAGTCGGCGGCGACTGAGGCCAGTGGAGGAGGCACGGGGGAGACTTTCTGGACGGCGTGTTCGGCTTGTAGGTTGCTTCATCAGTTTGAGAGGAGGTATTTAGGGCATAATTTGATGTGTCCGAATTGTAAAAAGGGTTTTAAAGCTGTGGAGGTTTCTGGAGAGGTTGTGGATGGTGAAGAAAGGGTTGAAACTAGGGCTAGTGTTAGGGTTAGGAGGAGTGTGGAGGCAAAGCAGAAAATGAGTAGTGTTGGGGAGGTTTTGCAGAGGTCGAAGCCGAGGAGGACTGAAAGGGTGAGGAATGTGGGTGTAAATATGGATTCAAATAGTGATGGTGGTGTAAATGTGAGTTTGAGGTCGAAGAGGGTTGAAAGGGTGAGGAATGCAGGTGTAAATGGGGATTCAACTAGTGATGGTGGTGTAAATGTGAGATTGAGGTCGAAGAGGACTAAAAGGGTGAGAAATGTAGGTGTAAATTGGGGTTTGAATGGTGATGGTGGTGTAAAGGAAAGATTGAATTCGATGAGGGTCGAAAGGTCCAGAATTGTGGGTAAGAAAGAGGAAAGGAGTGGTGGGGCTAAGTCATTGGATGACTCGAAGTCCAAGAGAGTGAAGATTGGGGAAGAAACCATGACATTAGCAGAAATGCAATTGTTAGCAAAGAGAAAGGTGCAACAGAAGGCGAAATTGAAGGAAAAGGATAGTATAGATGAGAAAGAGAAGGCGAGGGGGAAGAAAGAGAGTAGGAGTTCAGAAATTGAGAGACCAAGGGGTTCCAAGAGCAGGAGTTTAGAAATTGAGGAACATGAAAGGTCCAAGGGTGAGGATTTGGAGATCATGGCTGTGGAGGATTCAGATTTCTATAATTTTGATAGAGATAGGGTGGAGAGGAGTTTTAAGAAAGGCCAAGTGTGGGCTATTTATGATGATGGTGATGGAATGCCAAGGCATTATGGGTTGATTGATGAAGTTGTTTCAGTGAATCCTTTTGAGGTGGAGATGAGTTGGTTAGACCTTCAAAACAATGGAGATGAGGAGTTGATTTGTTGGGAGAAAATGGGATTTCATATATCTTTTGGGAGGTTTAAGGTAGTTAGGAAGATTTTAATTAAATCTGTGAATGTTTTTTCACATATTGTGGATTGCGAAAGAGCAGCAAGAGAGGTGTATAGGATTTATCCAAAGAAGGGTTCAGTTTGGGCTCTTTATAATGAAAATGCTTTGGACGCACGAGGAACAAACCTGTTACCCAAGGATGGTCACTGTTATGACATAGTTGTCTTCTTAACAAATTACTGTGAGATGCATGATTTGAGCATGGCTTACCTAGAGAAGGTTAGTGGGTTTAGAACAGTTTTCAAGAGGAGAGAGATTGGGTCTCATGCTATCAGATGGCTAGAAAAAGATGATGTTCGGTCATTTTCACATCAGATTCCTGCAAGGAAACTTTCTGGAGAAGAAGCCTCCGGCCTTCCCAGATACTGTTGGGAACTTGATCCTGCTGCACTTCCTCCCGAGTTGCTTAGTATTAGTTGGGAGAGATAGTGTCTGCTTGTTTGGTGACAAATACCTGATGTGCTATGGATGTCTAGTGATTCTTTGGTCTCCCTATTTGGGTGAATTTTGGTCTGATTGGAAGAAAAGTATCATTGTGAGGTAAAATCTGAACTCTTTGTATTGTTTTTTGTTACATCATGAAAAATTTTCAATTCTTGTGACGTCATTGGACCAATGGTTTGTCAATCACAAGGCATCGCTACTGTAAGTAAAGCTTAAATGGAAGTTTCAAGCACAATTATAATTAGTGAAACAATGTGCTTCTTCTGGTGAAACCTTATGTATATTCATATATGATGATGATATTATTGATATATTGCTATAGATTTGATCAGGTGCTTATATGTTGCTATGAGTGTGCCTAATTGGTGCCTTGGACCTAGATTTTGTTTCTAGCGAGTCCTTATTTGTAGTGCCTAATGGGAGATATTGGTCTTTGACTTCAAGTAGTTCATCCATTAGGAAAAGATATAATTAGCAACTTTTGTAGGACTAGAATATTTACTGCACCAGGAAACCAAAACTGATGGGTTTTTTTGGAAAACAACAGATTAGAAATTTGTTGCTGGTCAAAAAAGGATTAAACATCCACATCCTTCTTAGAGGTACCAGATTTTGGTTATTTTTCTCAGCTGAGTTCCTATCTTTCTCTAGTGTGAAGTGCAATCTTCAACCCTTGTTTACTTTGGTGTTGAGCGTAGCATTCCTGAACTTTATTTTTTTATTTTTATTTTCCCCATTGAAAATTCCCCAGCCTTCACCTATTAGTCAACTTCTAATATGGCTATGTATTAATATTGCTGTTCCATTAAACACCTGCTTGTCAATTGGGCTGACTGAGTTTCAACTAGTTAGAATTGTTTGCTGAGTGAGTTGATTTTATAGAAGCGCAAATGCCTCAGACTTAGAGGGCTTTTAATTTCTTTCTGAGGATGTTAATGACAATAAATTTGTGATTATAAATTAAATTTACTAGGAATTAGTCCAATTATCGATGTTGTATAAATAAAGATGATAACCTAATTTAATCTCCTTTTTTGGGGCCAAAACCATCTTACAACCAAATATCTTATTATTATTTTTTTCTGTCTCTTTTCCGCACATGGCGCTACAATCTACTATTTCCGAGTTGATGAATCAAAGTTGTAGAGTTGGATTATTCGGTGCCTTTTTCTTCATCTTCAATGTGTGAATAACAAATTATCTACAGTACATTTATGTGATGATACACCATGCATTTACTGTCACATTCTGAAATGTTTTACTAAATCTTTTCTTCTGATTATACTCATTATTTGACCCAGCTTAACTTTATTGACGACGACTCATTTGCTGCATCACCTTCAGTTTGGCGCATAGTTGCCTCTTTTTTTTTTATGTCATTCAGGGGTTGTGTATGAATAATGATTTAGAATGTCATCTTTTTTGATGAAATGCATTTATAAGTTATTCTGTGGGCATAAAGCAACAGAACAGCGGCAGATTTAAGGCTCATTCGATTCAGTTATCTAATAACAGTTCTATGAATATTTATTTATTATTTATTTTTTTTATCCTCAGTTCTATGAAAACAAGGCATCTTTTAACTTGTTTTTCAAAGCAACTTTCAGAAAATTGTCTAATTTTTAAACCTTTTCCTTTTTATTTTTCTCTGAAAAATAAAAAAACAAAAAAGTGAAACAAGCATGTAAAATAATAAAAACACCCAACCCTTGAAATCTGATATGTTTTGCATTCTTACAGTGCCCTTAGCTAGCTCCTTTTCAATCTCGTGGTCTATATTTGTTTTATTTAACAAGTGAATGGTTTTTAGCTAGTCCCTTTTCAATTTTTGTTCCGAGTATGTTTATTTAACAAGTGAATGGTCTTATTGACTCTCTCAGGTCATGCTAAAGATCTATGTTTTTTTTTCTTTTTTCGATTCATTCTTCTATAAACTTGCCATACTGGATTGAGAAAATTTGATTTGATCTATTGCTTGTCTAACAACAATAGTGGTTATTGGTGGTGTTGTGCAAACGTTTTGTATAGGAAGGTAGGAATCCATTTTTAACAGTATGGATAACATTTTATAGAAATCTTTTTTAGGTTTTATATGATATTCATTTTGACAAAGCGGTGTAATTTCTTTTCTATCTTTTATGAATTGCTTAATAGATTTTGACACAAGTAACACTTTGTTGATATCATAGCATTTTCCATTTAAAATGGCAGGTACCCTTTCACTTCTATTTTACTTTATTTTTTATTTTTCACTTTATTGATAAGGCTATATGATCCATGAATTTCAGCTGATGCTTAGAATCTTTTATTTAGTTGATTAGTTGTTGCATATCCTTTTGGTAGTGCAATTGGTTTTGCCATTGAAGTAGTACCTCTCATATCTATCAAAAGATTCAAAACATGTAGTAGTATCCAATATGGATGGAGATACCTTTCAAACTGAAAATTTAGGAATACTGCATGTTGTACTTTTAAGCATTAATATAGTTGTTGCTATATGCTTTTACCCTTCCAAACATATACTCTCTCTGTCCCAAAAAAAAGTGTCATGCTTTCCTTTTTGGTCTGTCCCAAAATAGTTGTCACTTTCCTTTTTCAAACAATATATTTTACATCTTTCCATATATGTCCGTGGAGTTTAAAATTTCAAACTTGAATATTCAAAGCTTAGAAGGGAAAATTAGTAACTTTTCAAGAAGATAAGGCATGTCCCACATGTCCCCTTAAAAATTCTTACTCCCCAAAAGTGACATCTAAATTGGGATAGAGGGTGTAGCTAATTTAGAAAGATTTTACCTGGTGAATGGAGATGTTTAAGACTTTAAGGGTCCTTTTAGTTCTCCCCTCTTTGTAACAGTTATGGGCATTGTCTAGCTTGCAGAGCATCTTATGTACTCGTTCTTCATTTTGTAATGTTGTTTATAAGCATCTACGAAGGGATGTTGTTGACAATTTTCATTTGATATGTATATCTAATTCTTGTGCTGTAGTTGATTTCCTTAATTGTAACAGCTTTAGTGTGAACCTTACGGTTGATGATCTAGATAATTGATACTGGGTGAAACGATTTTGGAACAAAAATATTATGTACTCGTTCTTCATTTTGCAGAGTATCCTATGAAATCGTTCTTCATTTCGTAATCTTGTTTATACACATCTACGAAGGGATGTTATTGGCAATTTCAATTTGATATGTATATCTAATTCTTGGCTGTAGTTGATTTCCTTAATTGTAACAGCTTTAGTGTGAACCTTACGGTTGATGATCAAGGTGGAAGGATTTGGAACAAAAATATTACAGCAGATTTTACCTTGATAGAACATGAAGGGAATGAATGTTCTAAGCTTTGTTAGTAATTATGTCATTTGTGGATAGTATCTTACACCATCATGGATGATAAAGAATGCCGGGTTATGATATTGTTCTGGTCTGTACCTCCTCCGTAGAGGTTTAAATTATCCTATCTGTGTTGGCTTGATGTCTTACCAGTCTTACATGCACCGAGCAATTCTCCAAATGAATTACATTTCATTTCACCTTAAGTGAGAGGGTGAAAAATGTGTTTAGTGTAACACATGATATATTGTTAGGATTACGGTGTCTCAAAATTTCCATAATTTGTATTTTTGATAACTCATACTGTATACCTAAATGATGGACTGCAAGAAAAGAATACTTCTGGTAGTTTTATGCATTTTGTTTGGAATGGGATTCTTGGCAACTTAAAATTGGCATGCGTCTTGGTCCTAAAACCAGAAAGTTAAATGAATGCTGATCTCTCTCTCTCTCTCTTTTTTTTTTGAGTGGTCTTGGTGCTTGTAAACAGGTAATGGTGATCCAAGCCGAGTTTGAAAACTTTACTTATATAACACTCCTTTTTTTGTACGGTTCTCGGGATAATTATTTATATTTTGTATCTGAATTATGAAGTAATATTTTGTATCTAAATTATGAAATAGGTCTCGTGTAGCGGAAATGAGGATGTTAAGATGAATGAATTATGTGCGGATGGATTAGGAAGACGTTAATATGGATGTCCACCCCGTTCTATTCCTATTGTACTAAGGATTAAGGTAGGCAAAGGTCGAGTAGTCTCTGGCCTATGTAAGCTAGATAGCATGGATGTTAGCCCATACAGCTTTCCGTCTCTAGCCTAGTAGTCTATGGCTCATAGTCTTCGCTTATACTATATTCTATTTGTTAGCTCTTTTTTGATCTTATCAGTGGTAGCCTTGCCTTAGCCACTGAAAGTCGCGGAAGTGTGCCCTCCGAAGGTCACTATGGCTTCGCATGGCCAATGAATTCTTTGTCTAGCTATCAGTATCCAACTTGCCTTCGCCACGAGTATATGCACGAGTTTTCGGAAAACGAAGATACTTCGATCAGTTCCTTGGCAGGAAACCTCCTGGCGCGGTGCTCCATTATGGTTAAGAATTTCCCCAAGTTACGAATTGATCAAGGTTTCGCATGGATATAACCGGAAGCCTCCCATTAGATTTAGGCTCGACTCTTCCGAAACTCCGAACATTTTATTTTGGAAGCAACCAATTCTCTGGATCAATTCCATCATCAATAGCCAATGCTACTGGACTCATAGCTTTTGATGGTAGTTGGAATACTCTTACAGGGCCTTTACCAATGAATTTGGGGAACCTAAATAATCTAGAAGTTTTAGGTTTCGTTAATAATGATCTGGGAATTAAAGAAGGAAATGACTTGAGCTTTCTCGATTCTTTGACCAGTTGTACCAATCTTAGGGTCATAATCTTAGAGGTGTGTTGCCTGATTTAATATAGAAATAGGAATGAATGACATGGAAGCGAATAATTTTTTTTCTTGACTTGATTCCGTGAACTCTGTTATGTAGGCGGAGTCTATGGTTTATCCTTCTACATGTAAATAAACCTAATAGCATCCATCTCCATTTTTATTGTATGAATTTTCAGCAGCTGTGGTTGCAACTTCTCTCGTGTACTTGAAATTTCTCAATTCTTTAACCAATTGTACAAATCTTAGGACTGTATTTAAATAAGAATGGCTTTGGGGGTTGATTTAAATGAGGATGGAAGGAAACTACATAGGTGGAAGCATACAAAAAGGTGATAAGAACCTCATTAGCTTTAGATAATCGCGTATTAAATGAGAACATGCTCAAAGGAAGCATTCCTCAACATCCCAGGGAAAATTCCATCATCTATTGGCAGCATAATTTTCTCAGTTTGTATGTTTGCCTTGTAAGAAAATATGGTGGGGAAGCGCAGGACGACTCTCATGTGGTCCAAAAGAACGAACTTTTTAACAGACTAAAAGTCAATTAGAAAAATTACACTTTATTGCTTTATCAAA